CTTTTCCTTTCCTTTTTGTTTCGTTACACTTAAACCAAATATATTTTAAACAGAAGTATAATTAATGTGATACTATTTGGATTTTAACCAAAAAAGTTAAGATTAATTTTTGGGATCAAATTTTAAGATAACGAGGCATCTATTTATATAAAATTTTTATACATTATATTTATATAAAATTAATTATTTTTTTACTTTTAATAATTAAAAATTATCATTATTTTTTATGTAAAAAATAATTATTTTAATAAACAAAAATAAATTTTAATCATTAAACATAAAAAACTAAATAATTAAAATTTTTTATAAATATAATATAAGAATTTACATATAAATAAATCACAAGTCTTTTAAGATAGATTTATGGCAACCATTAATGCAGTAAAAAATGTGGTGAGAGGAGAGTTCGTCTGAGAGGAAAATCAAGCGAAAATAACTGTTACCAATGGCAAACATGTAGTTTCATTCAATTCCAGGGACAGTTCCCTATTCTATCCCCGAAACGGGCCAAGTAGAAAAGGCAGAGAAAAAGCAAAGAAACGCAGCCTGAAAAATATGCAGTGAGAGGGGCAGTTCTCTATTCTCTAATAGATAAAGTTACAGAGACTGACGGGGAGAGAAGGGGAGATCTGAGTTCCGGAGTGAATTGGAGGCTGAATCGACTCTGACAGTGACCGTTTCAGCGTTAAGATCCCGACGGCGGGATCTTGATTCTGAAAATCGAGATTCTCTGTCCAATTTTTCGCTCTCTCTTTCTCTCTCCGGTGAAATTTTGAAAGCGAATTTTGAGGACGGAACGGAAAGGTATAGGTGAAGAATTGATCGATCGGGTCGGGTTTTAGATATTTGTTCGATGCTGCTTCCACAGGTAATTTTTTCTTTTTTAATTCGATGCGATTTTTTGTTTGGTTGGTGGGAAAGTGAAGGAAAAGGAATAGTGAAAAGAGGAAAACGTTGGAGTTTGGAATCTTTTAAAGTTTCAATTTTTGTTTGGCTGGGGCTCTTGGTGCGAAAGTTTCAGTCTTAGTGATGATATACTGGTCTCTGAAGTAGCTTTGTTTGAGATTTAAATAAAGACTTTTTTTCTTTGTTGAACTGATTTTTCTTTTTAATATCATCTTTATTCTTGCAGATTTAACTCTGTGGGAGCGTAACTGGTTACTGCATTCGAATTGAGCTCAAGATCAAGTGGTGGGAGTGTGATTTAGAGAAAATGAAGTGGATTTGGGCAATGATGAAGAAGATATAGCATATCTGACAATTTGAGTTGTTTCAGTTGGGGTTTGTGTTTCATTTTCTAAAATTAGTTAAGATATTGAGGTTAGATGGTAAAAACTGGAAACCCTAATTTGGTTGTTATAGAACCCTAGAAACTTTCATTTTTAAGTTCTTGATTTGTGTAAGTGGAGATAATGGTATTATGGTATGAGTAGATTTTGCTAGCGTTAGACTTTTAGTGTCAGTTGTTCTGGAAATGGGGGAAATCATTGCTTAGAAACAGAAACAGAACTATAGAATTAAATCAATGGAAGATTTTTCTAAATACACGCATAGTCCTGCTCATTTGGCTGTTGCTCGTCGTGACCATGCTGGTCTTAGGCGCATTATCTCAACCATACCACAGCTTGCCAAGGCTGGTGAGGTTAATACTGAAGCAGAGTCTCTTGAGGCTGAGCTCCGGGCTGATGCTGTCTCAGCTGTTATTGATCGTCGAGATGTACCTGGCCGTGAGACCCCATTACATCTGGCAGTCCGGTTGAGGGATCCAACCTCAGCTGAGATTTTGATGACAGCAGGGGCAGATTGGAGTCTTCAGAATGAAAATGGGTGGAGTGCCTTACAAGAGGCAGTTTGCACAAGGGAAGAGTCAATTGCTCTGATCATTGCCAGGCACTACCAGCCACTTGCTTGGGCAAAATGGTGCCGCAGACTTCCCCGAATTGTTGCATCAGCATCTCGTATCCGTGATTTTTATATGGAGATAACTTTTCATTTTGAAAGTTCTGTCATTCCCTTTATTGGCCGTATTGCCCCATCAGATACTTACCGCATTTGGAAGCGAGGTTCCAATCTCCGAGCTGACATGACACTTGCTGGGTTTGATGGATTCCGCATTCAAAGATCAGATCAAACTTTCCTCTTTCTTGGAGAGGGCTACAATTCAGAAGATGGTAATATGTCTCTCCTACCTGGCTCTTTGATTGTTCTTGCACACAAGGAGAAAGAAGTAACGAATGCTTTAGAGGGAGCTGGTGCTGTACCAACAGATGCAGAAGTTGCCCATGAAGTAGCATTGATGTCTCAAACTAATATGTATAGGCCTGGCATAGACGTCACTCAGGCTGAGCTAGTTCCCCATTTGAATTGGAGGCGTCAAGAGAGAACTGAAATGGTTGGAAATTGGAAGGCAAAAGTTTATGATATGCTTCATGTGACGGTTAGTGTGAAATCAAGGAGGGTTCCTGGTGCAATGACTGATGAGGAGCTCTTTTCTGTGGATGATGAAAGATTGGCAAACAATGGTGAAAATGATGATTATGATGACGTATTGACAGCTGAGGAAAGGATGCAACTGGATTCAGCACTTCGTATGGCAAATTCAGATGGCCTCTGTGATGAGGAGGAGAATGGTGTCCATGACTGCCAAGAAAATGGTTCAGGAGGTTCTTGTGATAATTGTGAATCAAATGGTGCTGCTAAGGAGAAGAAAAGTTGGTTTGGCTGGAACAAGAAAGTTGCCAAGAATAATAGTGATGATCCAGAAGATTCAAAGATTTTGAAGAAGTTCTCGAAGTTGGCCCCTGAAGGTGGCAACCAGAGACAAACTGATAATCAAAAATCATCATCTGAGTTACCGAAGGAAGATACAGGAGATGCCAAGAAGGGAAAGGATAAAAGCAACAAGAAGAAAAAGAAGAAAGGAGCAATTACGGATACTAAACATGAGAGTGAATACAAGAAAGGTTTGAGACCTGTCTTGTGGTTAACACCAGATTTCCCCTTGAAGACAGAGGAGGTTCTACCTTTACTTGACATATTAGCCAACAAGGTCAAGGCTATAAGGAGACTAAGAGAGCTGTTGACAACAAAACTACCTGCTGGCACATTTCCTGTCAAGGTATTTGAGTTGCTTCAATCTGCATTTTAACAAAAGAAAACTTTTCTTTGCCTTTTTTTTTTAATATATTTTTGTTTTATATTTAGATATTCTGCTTTATTATGAATGTCAGCGTAAAGTTTCAGGTGTTTGGTTTTTCTATTTTTCCATTCCTTTCTGGGGTTAGAGGAAGAAAGGGGAGAAGGACCTGCTTGTTTTCTTCATCTAATCATTCTCTAAGTAAAATTTGCTAGATTTTGTATGATAAAATTTTGGTATTTTATTTTCATTTTTCAAACTTGCGAGTGATAGCCATAGTTTTTAATTTTGCTTTTAATAGTAAATCATCCTAGGTTAGTGTTGAGATTCAACTTGAGCAGGTGTCTTTTTTCTTTTTTCTTTTTTTTTCCTTGGGTCTTTTATCTAGAGTATTTCTGCTGGTGGTATCACTCGTTATGTGAAGATGATTTGATATATTGAAATACTGCAGCTAAACATCTTAATATGGTTAAAAAAAGAAAAAGAAAAAGAAAAAGAAAAGGAAAAAAAAAAAAAACACTTGTTAGTTGTAAGATTTTATGTATGAAGAGGTAGATTACTGATGTGTGAGAATCATACTTTAAGAGGAAGGGGGTATAGCAGCAATTCGTTTGGCTTAGGTTAATCATGCATGATGAATTTGGGATGATTATGGCAAATGGACTTAGAACTGCAGTAAACAACCTGAACGCCCTGCCCTACCCTAGAAATAAAGGTTAAAAGTGAAAGTGAAATAGGATAAACTACAGAAGAGATGGAAGTATAGGAAAAAAATTTGACTTTTGAGTTTGATACTAGACTCATCGTATCTTAAAATATAGGCAGTTAGAAATACATTGTTTAGATTAAAGTTTAGCTGCAAGTTAATTTTTCAAATTATAAGGTTAGAAACACATGGTGAATTCAGGCACTAATTTTTCATTGTCGTAATATTTTCTTAAGGGCTTCTTGAGTTTAAGTGTCATAATATTTTTCATTTTCTTTACTTTAGGTTGCCATTCCTATTGTCCCAACCATTCGAGTACTTGTCACTTTTACAAAATTTGAGGAGCTTCAGCCAATGGAGGAGTTCTCAACCCCTCTCTCCAGTCCAGCTCATTTCCAGGATGCCAGATCCAAGGAACCAGAGGCTTCAACATCATGGATTTCATGGATGAGAGGGAGTCGTGGTGGCCAATCAAGTGATAGTGATAGCCACCGATTTAAGGATGAGGCTGACCCTTTCCAAATACCATCTGACTATACCTGGATTGATGCTAATGAGAAGAAACGCCGCATGAAAGCCAAGAAAGCAAGGAACAAGAAGCATAGAAAGCAGGCAGGAGCCAAAGGTGTGGATGGAGGACAGCAGTTGAATGAGGAGGTGGGAGATTAAGTTTGTCTTCACTAAGTTATTTTGCCACTCTTGTGGCATCTGCAAGAGAGAGGAGGTAAGGCTCCTTCCTGCACCCATCTGACCCTTTTATTCTTTCAACTTTGAGTCACTTGGGCAGAGGATTTACAGAATGATTGTTAGGAAATCACTTGTTTATCATGAAGAGCGTTATCTTCATCTGTTGTATTTGTTATGTGATGTGAAATTTGGGGGACAATATTTCCTCGTTTCTTTGGTATCTCGTCAAAAATCTAATTTTTCTTGGACGTCAATCTTTGTATCTAAGTTGATAATCATCAATTTTCATTTTTGTGATTGGAATTCTTTTTCTTAAATTGTTGAGTGGTGGTGAATTGTTTTCTGCTTCCTGCCTTCTTTGACCTAAACTGTCTTTTAAAATAACAATTGTGGATTTTTTTTTATCACTTTGGTAGGATGATAGAAACAAGATTGGTGTTAGGTTGACTCTTATGAGTAAAAAATAGGGGCTAGAGCCAAGAGAGCAAGCCAGAGGTCGTATTTGGTTGGTGTGAAATGCCTATTTCTTAGTCAAACTAGCATTGTGAAACTTATTCGACAAATTGAGAATAGTTCCCTTATGAGTAAGGAATGGGTATTACCACCTTTTCCTCAGATAATGACCATTCTTTATTTTTGTCCCTAATCTAAAAGAAAGTCATTAATCTTACAGTGTGTTTGGATTGGGGAAGTTGGAGGAGAAGGAAAGTAGAATGAAGGGGACATTCCTCCACGTGTTGGATTCCCTATTTTAATAGAGAGGGAGGGAGATAAAATTCTTTTCACTTTTCTGTTTTTTCTATATTTAAATGGAAGGAATTGCAAGAAATTAGATTTACACAATTAATTTTTTTTAATTTTTTTTTAAAAATAAATATATAGAAATATTTCATTTTAATTATTTTTTAACTAGTAAATTTTAAACATTTTATTTTATTTATTTTTATTTTTTTTAAAATTATTTAATTAAATAAAAATATTTTTTTTTTCCTCTCCTTTGCTTTTGTATATCCAAACAAACTGAATATTAACATTTTTCTTTCATTCACTTTTCCTTCCTCCCCTCTCTTTTCTTCTCTTTATTAATTTTTATCTAAACAAACACTTCAGGGTTAGCTATCTTCCTTTTACTAATTTGTATCCAAATCAACGCTTCCTAAATTGATAAATAGGTTTCTTAATTTTGCCTCCTTTTTATTATTTGATCATGGGAGACATTTCATCCAACGATGTTAGCCCAAAAGGTTTGGGTTGAAAATTTTTGGCTACCTATAATAGGGGTTAGGGTTTTTTCTACTTGCATTTATTGTAAATGCAATTGGAGGCATTCAAGATTAATACCATTGAATTCAATTCAATTTACAGTGTCACACTTCTTTCGGTAGGTTGCGCAATTATAGAGAACCCTTCTTGATCCCTTAACCTCTAATTTCTAATGGAGAGTACAAATGAGCTACTAGGTCCTCGGCTTTTCACATTGTACTAAGATAGTTGGAATGTTAGATGGATTGAACTAGGTGGTGGTCCAGAGTTTTCCTTCCAAACCGTTGGCGTCTGGTTAAATCAAATCTTGAATCAGATTGCATCTGCCTTCTGTTATCTTGTGGTGTCCTGTTTCACTTTCAGCCTAGCCCTCGTTTTTCTACTTTAAACTTAGATCAGAATCTCACAATCCCCAGAAAAGTTTTTTGCATTATATAAACTGATTGACCATATGACAATTTGGATGAGCAGTCCTTTTCTGGTGTATGCGTCTGTTGTTGTCCGTAGGAAAAACCTCTTTAGTTGCCTTTGTTGGATGGAGTTTGCGGTTTTCTAGGTCAGACTGAGCGGGATTGCAAAACTATAACCATCGGCCTCCCTCTGCATTCAGGAGGCCTAATCCCGTTTGATGGTCACTGTTGTATGCATACTTCTAAACAAATTTTCTAAAAAGCTCCACCAAACAGCCATGGCCCCTAGGTCTAGTTTTATGAGCTAAAGCCTTGGATATGCTGCAATTTAGCAATATTTGATTTGGTCTAAGGACATATTTGGGTTAATTTATTACCCCTTCACTTTTTTAACATTATTCATATTTTATAAATTTAATATATATTTTTTTAAATTTATATATTTAAATTTTTTTTAATCTTAAAAAGATTTCAAATAATAAAAACTCAAAATTTTTAAATTTAAATTTTTCATAAACTCTTTTTATACTCACTTTTAATTTATTTTTTTTATATTTAAAAGTAATTTTTATTTTTTTTAATAAAAATTTAAATTTATCACTCATAAATAATATTTAAAAAATAAAAACTCTGATAAGTTAAACTAAACATGCCTTATACCACTTCGAACTGATCTTACGGATATTTGTCACGTGTCAATTGCCGAGAGAATTTTTGGGGGAACAGCAACCATACTACATTTTATTAGGGATCTTCATATACATTTTAGTTATGTACAAAATACACATTATGCTCCTAATATTGGACGCGTGAACAAAAGAACAGTGGAACCAATTGTTCTGATCTTCATACCTAGCCATGCAGTCCCGTACTACCAGAAGCGATCCTTGTTGACGCTTAGGTATCCAGCCATCACTTTCCCTCCAGTATTCCTCATGCCATCGATAAGATAGCACCAAGTGGATCCCAATGCACCGATGAAGAAGTCAGCATCGGTTGCCATCAAGAAATTCACCAGGGGATAGTTTGTGCTGGTTTCCCTCCCAAGACTCGCCTCGTATTTGGCCATTGTTATGTTCCCCACTTGACGCTTCACATTCGTGTAGTAGAACTTCCAATGGGGGTATAGTTTCGATTTATCAATGACGTCCTGAAATTTAATCAGATTATCCATGTTATAAGATAAACGCATAACTGCAGGTTTCTTCCCTTTGTTTTGCTAAGAGTAATGATTCCAATGGTACCTGCATTTCTGTGGAGAGCCAAATGCTGTTAAGATGTGGAAAGCGCTTTCTAATACGGTCAGCTAGATGCATGTATTCGTCAAATTCGACTACTTTCATTTCACATGCCTTGTCTCCCATTCTTACATGCATGCTTAGCAATGGCCTGGGGATCCATGGTTTGTGACTTGACCAAACAAATTCTTCAATTTCTGACTTCGCCTCATTTCTAATTTCCTGGAATTAGAACTTGAATGAAGTGAAAATTTGATGAGGTAACTTAAGAGAGAAACCAATTACTAGCATCACATGATGATAATTTTTTCCTCTTAGATTCCGTTATAATCTGGAGAATGCATGAATTTCACACAACACAAAGGATTCAGATTAAGATGGACAAACCTCTAAGACTTCAACATCGGGACCAGTATTTCAACTTATTGCCGATTATATAGAGAGAAGTACAAATATCAATTGGACTCAGACTAAGATGGACAAACCTTTGGCCATTCACTGCCATGTGTTGTGAGAACCATCCTTGCAGCTTCATTCCCGAATGCAGCATGGCGAGCATTGTTCATTAAGCCACATGTGTACTCTGATTGAAATCTCATTAAGTAACGTACAGCCTGACAAAAATAATGGATGTATCACAATTAAATTTTGAATCGTCCCAAGATCTCTAAGGAAAGATATACCTTCAAAAGATATATGGAACGTACACCAACTTAACTAAGGTTTAGTGATTTTAAACAAAAACTTCAGTTAGGAAATGAAATCAAGAAATAGGCAACTAAAAATTACTATTTAGAGCCATACATCAAAGAACATTATTTATGAATTGTGCTATAATATTGAACCGGGATGTACTGATCATTTTGATTGATAAATCAAGTCATAAGTTGATTATTTTTCTCACTTCTTTTTAGGGAAGTATTGTGGCTATATTTTCATTTAAATGAAAGTGCATGTTCAGTTCAACTTTTTTTTGGCCTTACTGATTCTAGCTTTTTGAACTTTAGCTTTTGGAGGTTAAATTAAACTTCTAAATTTGATAAACTTTATCAGTTTCTAAAAAATTTTCTAATTATTTTATATGAATTTATGATTTAGTGCTTTTGCATAAATTATACTTAAACATCACTTGTACAGTTGTACAAAAGTTACAGCTAGGCCAAAATACCGAAGAGTATCATTTCTGCATTTTCTTTTCGAAGAAAAGACACTATTTCTACATGAAATACATTAATACCTGAGCTCTCCACCATCTTCTATCCATTTTGCGATGAAAAGCAATTAAGCTCCCATTTATCTCTGTTGTTGGTTGCAAATAACTCCAAGGATCACCCCAAAACCTGCATTAAACAATAATATTGATCATTTAAACTAATATTACTAAGAGCAAATTAAATTAGAATTTAAAATTAATGTTTTGCTTACTTAGGAATCTTTCCAGCCCATATTTCCTTCGAAGTATAGTTTTCTTTCTGTTTTATGATTCCCTTTTCCCATGCTTCTCTACGGTGCATGAGCTTAAATGCGTGGTCTCTGCATTCCTGGGAAGTTTCTGGGAAGAAGTAGCAAGACCAGCTAGAGCGTGTTGAACCTAAGAAAACATACAAAGCAGTTCATCAAGGATTTTAGCTCATGGTAAGATAGAATCCCTGTAGGCTTGAGAAAAATATAACAAAGAGACTGGATCTTTAAATGTTAGAAGACAACCTTTGCAACCATCGTGATCAGCTCGATTATAGTAGTTAGTAACAAGAACTCTTTTTTCATTGATTGCAATAGCAAGAAGCCCTGCCATGCCTGCAATCTGGGCTCCAATACCAAAGCCAGGCAACCTTTCCCAGTCAGCCACAAGAAATTTTACATTAGGATTGTGGCAATTTATTGGATGCTGATGAATCCATATGTCAAGCTGCACTTTCCTAGTAAGGGGATAGTTTTCTTCATCTGATCCAGAAATCTGCAAGAGATCCCATTTGCTCAGAAAACATCCAAGAAACACGAAATATATCATAGGATATCTATACAAAACCATCAGTGTAGTATTGAATGAAACCAACATAATTGTAGTAACTTGAGCTAGCCTTTAGAATATAAATAAATAGGTTAATTAGAAGAGAACTGATGAGTTTCTAAATATGAGCAAACTTGCTGCTCAGGTTTATCTAAATGATTAGGGATGTTAGTTAAATCTGTAAATGCAAGCTGCAGTAATGCCGATACAGGAGTTGTAAATGCATAGGCAGCTGGTGCATTGGGCCCTGTCCCAGGTTCTAGTTAGAAATTCTAAGGAAATTGCTTGTTATTGGATTGTGACTTGAAAACATACCCATGGAGGATAAGCACCTTCAGATATGGCTTGATGCCTAAAGTACCTAATTTGCTTATTAGCTACAGATGCTGGATAAACGTCTAACAATCCCTTCCAACTAGTCCATGGAGGGAAGCTCTCATTTCCAGCCCGTTTGTCAAGACGCCTATTTACTTGTGCACTCAATCTGCAATTCTCCAGATGAGGGGCATTTGGAACACTGGACTTCCTTACTCCAAGCCTTTGAAATAACTTGTTTTCCCCATCTACTGACTGAGTTAGTAAAGCACTCCATGCTGAAAACAGTGATGAAACTCTCTCATCATCAGTATCTGTCTTACTTTGCTGAGAATCCACCCATCTTTCACTCTCTTTTAGTCTAAGTTTGCAGTCTGTACTCGTAACAACATCTACAATTTGCCAGAAGAAAATGATTCCAAGTGTCAAACCAGAGCAGTATACAATGATTAGCAATCAAGAAATCAATGCAGGCAAAGAATCCACTCTTAGCGTTGTGAGTTCTAAGCAAGAGATCCTAGAAACTTCCTACTTGCTTGCGTACAATTTACAAGTCTAAAAGGGAGGACTAGCTTCGAATTGAAGCATGTTTTGGGAAGCTAATTACAGATCTAATTACAAAAAATTCAAAAGTCATTGGAACTTTTAGTTTGCTTCAAATATACCCTTTGATCATTTTCATCATTCCATTCTTCATTCTCTGCCAAATTTTGACCAAATCCCACTAGTTCTTTAATGCAACCACTGAACATTCTGATTGTAATCTAGGAAAAAAAGGGAATAAAGAGAATAATTATATATTTATTTGATTCAAAATTTTAAAATTTCAGCCTATACAGTTTCTAAACCAGAAAACAAGCACACAAAATTTTAGGACCAAATTGAAAGAAAGAAGTGATTTTACTTACTGATCCTCTCTGAACTTGAATTCCAAGGAGAAATCCACATAGAAATGGAAGAAAATGAAACCCCACCAAACCCAAAACTGCCCAGAGAAGTGAGAGCAGCCAGAAACAGAGAGGTGAGGCAAACTCCACAGAGAAAACCCACCACACAAATTTGGCATGAAAATGAAGTACCCATTTGCAGAGCTCTCTGTGAAACCACTCTCTCTAGAGTCTTCTGCTTTGCTGTCTCCATCTCCTTGGTTTTCCCTTTCTCCTCAGTTCATTAACTTCAAAGGAAAAACTCACAGAAACCCATTTTCCTGACTTTCTTCTTT